AGTTACTTCCATGGCACTGCAATTAGAGCCACCTTAACAGAATACCACAACCAGTCAACCACAAAGCAAGTGCACGAGGTGTATGAACCATTGCTTACCATATAAAGATCAAAAGCACCAGTCTAAAATACTGCTCAAAAATTAAATTATTTACAACTTCCAATCGCAGTTTCTATCTGGATCATAGGATGAGAAACATAAAAGCCACGCAAATTGATCTTAGTAAAACGAGCCATTAATATTCCCATAAAATCAATGATTTCCAAAGTTGTTACACCAAGAATTAATCTCACTCAAGCTGCACAATGGTACAGCCCTGAAATAACTAAAAACTAGATAATAAATGCAAGATGTCCTGCACTCAATGCGCTGAAACTACTAGTTATCCTGTCATGGAAAGGATGAATCACAAAAGTGAGACTGCATTACATGAAGCCTGCAGCAACTGATTCCAGAATTTAGATGGATGAGACCCTTGGGACATCAACAGGGAATCTATCGATCTCATCCATCCATGGGTTTTTCTCCTTAGCTGGATTCACTGTCCTCAAAGCCTTCCACACTGCACTGTTACACTTGAATCCGGAACCAAATGCTATTTGCCATGTTCTATCCCCCTTCCTAATCCTACCCTTAGCTTCTGAATAAGCCAATTCATACCAAAGAGAACTGCTGGAAGTATTGCCAAATCGGTAAAGAGTCATTCTTGATGGTTCCATGTGCCACTCAGACAGCTGCAAATTCTTCTCCAGTTCGTCTAAAACAGCTCTTCCTCCAGCATGAATGCAGAAATGCTCAAAAGCTAGCTTGAAATCTGGAATGTATGGCTTAACTTTCATTTTAAATAGTTTCTTCCCAACCAATGTACCAAAGAAAAGCAGCTGCTCAGACATTGGCAAAACCAGAGGTCCCAATGTGGTGATGTTGGTCTTTAAAGCATCACCAGCAACTGCCATCAGATCCTTTGACAATGTAACACCGACCTTCCCTGCAGAGTCTTCTTCCTGGGTAACACAGGAAAAGCACTTATCATCAGCACCCTTGTGAGTGCGCACAGTGTGAACCAATTCATATTTGGATCTTCTTCTGTCAGAGCGTTTGTTCGAGAGCAATATTGCAGCGCCTCCCATCCTAAACAAGCAGTTTGAAACAAGTTTTGAGCGATCATTCCCAAAGTA